TTCTTTTTTTGGAGGTATAGTTAAATTGCTAGCTTCGTTCGTCTTCGACCATCTTAGATAAAACATGTCTCAATATAAAAATAAGAAGATATGGTTCGGTTGATAATGCGACAACTTTCCACCAGAAACCAACACAAAGAAACCACTACATATACAAAGAAACCAATACATATACAAATAAACCAATACACATACAAAGAAACCAATATATATACAAAGAAACCAATACATATACAAAGAAACCAATACATATACAAAGAAACCAACAAACTTGAACCAAAAAAAAGAAAATTAAAATGTGTCCTAAGCATTTAAAAAAACATAAGTAAATTTATATAGTTGTCTCACTGGCACTCATACCACATCTTCTTATTTATATTTACATTGAAAGACAGTTTGTGAACCGTTTTTATTTGCAAAATGCATAACAATATTGTTATTTTTAGTTTACCACTAACTCATGTAGAGACGGGTGTCCTAACTTCAAGTCACGTGCTTCAACCTAGCGATACTATGACATTGATTGTGTTGCTATTTGCAGCAACTCAAATATAGTGATTTAGCAGGCTATATATACAAAGAGCATTACTCTCAAAACCATGTGTTTTTCAATACTTAGAATATTTGAAGGAAATAAAAGAAGTAAAATATATCAAGTGAAATTCGATTTGACACTTTTATGTTTGTAAAGAATTATGTCATGATAAAATATCTACGTTCTTCTTTGATTAGATGTATAAGATGTAACAGAAACAGATCAGCAGTTATTCATATTTGTTGGATTTAGCCGTCATGAAATTAGATAGTTTTATTTACAAATTCGTGTTAACCTCAAAATGATCCCCAAAAATGTTTACTCATGATAAAGAGCTTTCAAAGATCTAGTATAACTTTAAAATATCACTTTACAAAAGCCTGTATTCTTTTGCCAAATGAATGACAGAAATAAATAATGAAGGCAGCGCGTTAAATAACAGTTTGTTTATAGTTATCGTTTTCCTTCTTATTGAAATTAATAGAATTACCCATTCTGTTTCTGTAAATATATAAAAAGACAGCAAACTATTATTTATGAACTGTCCTTCACATTAATGCTATCATCAACGAAGAGTCAATTTACAGAATATTAAACGATAACTTGTCTCAGTAAATGCATATAACTGTCCGTTTACCAAATGCTAACATTTTTATGACTATTCTTAATTTAAACTGTCAGTTTTTCATGCTTAAAAGGGATTGAGTGATAGTTACGTGTCACATGACAATACATTTTTAGCTTCAGGTATTCTTCATAAACTTCTATAATTGACAACCGATACGGCCCTGACCGTATAAAACAGCCAATAGAAATCAGTTAATCAGCACTTGTAACTACATGAAAACCTGTATAAACCAGCTGGCTATGGAACTATGAAAAAGGGCCAGTTTGGACAGTGTGTCGGTTTATTAAATTGTGCTGCACTGCATGTAAAAGTTCCGTCTCATTGTAAATTGTAAACTAATAAAAACAATTATGATGAAATGATCTATTTATTAAAGTATGTCATGCTTTCAGTAGAAATATTTGTTAAATGTTTTACATCGGATTCATTTTACAAGTGACAAAGAAAAATCGAAAACTTCAAAAATCATAATTTTAGTATTTTCTTTTAATCATTCACACTCCGATGAATGATGACAGATGCCTGTTCTGTTTAACACTTTCGATATATACACTATATGAAGAGGATTTTAAGAAATGTGTTTTATTTGTCATTAAATATGTCATTTATTATTCGAAATAGTTAGGATCATGTCAATCTAATAAAAACAATGATTGATTTTTCATTTACGAGGGATACTTTTATTTGTGGTTGTCTTTAATATAATACTTCACATAAGCATACATATATAATTATTAGACCTAAACTTGCGTCAAAGATAACATTTTAATACATAAACTAAGGTTGTAGTCCGATAACTTGATAGATTCAATACCTGTTAACTCGTCTCCCCGTCTTTATACCTGACTATAATTTAGATCGATATATCTAGAACTCCGCATACACACATTCAACTACACACATCTAGTTTAAAACAAAAACCTATCAACAAATTAGCGTTAGAATAAAACACTAATCTACATAATTTTAGAGAATATTTTTCTGGCTTAAGAGAAAAAAATACAACTGAACACACAACGGATAACCCTGCTGTGTGTATTCAAAGAAAGAAAGATACACGCAACTGTATAAATCATTGCTTCATTACATGATAACCAGGACCAAAAAAGACATAAATAACAGCAGCAAAACATATAAGTAGAAGAGGTAAATTACGAGAATAAGCATACTCTTGACACTATAAATACCATTATAGATTATCATTAAAAAAATTTACATGTGGGTTTGTTTCCTGATATGCACATTTAGCATAGTTATAACATGCAGTTTACATCCCTCTTCTTTTATTGCTTGTTTTGCAAGAAGCATACCATTTGTTATCCGTTGTTTTGATGATATGACCGAGGGCCAGAAACAAAACCTACTGCAGTACCAAATATTGAACAACGGAAAAGGTAACAGTTCGCAACAACAACAAATAAGAGGAAAGAGAAAAACACTGACATTCGGAAAGCCCAGGTTAGAGTTGATGTTGTATAACAAATTAATAGTTTGTAAATTAATTCAAATCTGAAAAGTTTTTGTTGCAACACAATCAACAACAAAAAAGAAGAGAATTATTTTTTTAAATTGTAAATCTGTAACTGAACCCCGAGTGCTCCGGTTTCACTACAAACCTATTTTCGTCTTCGACTTTATTCTAATTGAGCAGGTTTTGAAGGCAATTACCGCCAATGAAATGAAAATATGTATATATGTAACTAAAATAACTTTTGTCTGGAAATAATGAATATAAAAACACCAAATACTTGAAGTAGAATAAAATATAATGAGAAAAAGGACAAACAATGACGAGCTTCCTGGCATAAAACAAGTACATGAATATGTGGCAAGATTAAATTGTTGCGTGGTTCCACATCTCCTCTCTTATACCAATCGGTGCAATCAACAAAGGACACATCTAAAGCGCAGAATATTCCATGCATTATTTAACATAAAAGATAAGGAGATGGGATATGCCTGCGAAAGACACAACTATTCACCAGTCACCAAACGGGCGAGGATGTAAACAATTATCGTTGGTTACTGAACGGCCTTCAACAATGAACATAAACCAAACAGTAAAGCATAAAATTGAGAATGGAAATGGGGAATGTGTCAAAGAGACAACAACCCGACCATAGAGCAGACAATAGCCGAAGGCCACCAATGGGTCTTCAATGCAGCGAGAAACTCCCGCACCCGGAGGCGTCCTTCAGCTGGCCCCTAAACATATATGCATACTAGTTAAGTGAAGCCTATAAAGGATATGACTAAATGTGAAACAATGCATACCACATCATCAAGTACAAGGTCTCAGATATTTGCGTATTTGAATAAAGGGAGATGTTGGGTAAATGTCAATGAGACTGCAGACCAAATAACACAACGTTACTAGAAAAAAAATTATATAGATGAAATAATACGGTCTTCCACAAAAGGAAAATATATATACCATATATTAAGCTCCAAGTCGCCTGATATCACCCGAGTCTAGCAAAGCTGTAAATGAAACAGCGACTATCGAAGATCTGCCATTCTCGCTAGATCAGTAAAATTGAAGAACACCATACCAATTAATTCAGAAAAAGCACTATTATGATTATTGATGTTCCGACCAGGCTAACCTTACTGTTAATTTTACACAGGATTTCCTACTTTCTTTAGAAAAATCTATTAAGTTAAGGGGAACAACTTTCGTTATATTTTTTCAATTGGCGTCTTTTTAAATCCAAATGCAATTTTATTTTCCGATACATTAGCCGCAATATTGTTTATTGAAGTATACTTCAATTAATAATAATAATAATAATAATAATAATAATAATAATAATAATAATAATATTTGGCGTCTTTTTAAAAGCAGATGCACTTTTATTTTTCAATACATTAGCCGCCAAAGTGTTTACTGAAGTATACTTCAATTATTATCAATAATAATAATAATAATAATAATAATAATAATAATAATAATAACAATAATAACGTTTAGCTTTAAAGGCATTCTAAACTAGCAAGACGAGGTATTTTCGGGTTTCCATACTTCATACATAATTACAAATACGTAAATTTTATTGAAATGTTATGATTTAATTTGAGTTAAACTTTACGCAAGAGTTTTAAAAGTTCTCGCAGAATTCACCTAGTGCCGATAGTCGGCTAATTGCTTTGCATAATACATTAAATTCAAATGATATTATATGTATTAAGTGTATTTTCGTGTTCTCGGTTTGTCTTTTTTGTAAATGTCGTCTTTTATATTTTCTGACAAAGTCTACCTTATAAAGCGTTGAAGCATAAATTGCACTCATTTGTTTTAATTTCTTTTTGCAGTATTTTACTGCAATATGTACAAGAATTGCATTTAATAAATTTGCATTATTGTCAGTTGTAGAACAAAAGATACGCAATAATAATTCCTGTCATCAAATTGTGAATTTTTACAATATATCTGGCAGTGTATAATACTTAATTCTGAAAAGCAATTTAAGGATATTTGTACATATCGTTATTTTAGACCACGAAAAAAAAAATTGAGGAAAGAAATTAAGTAGACCGATAATTCATTTAATACGATATCTCTTATTTCACAAGATTAAACTTTTAATTTACGCCTGTTCAGCATTTTAATAAAAGAGGAATTATTGATTACTTTCCGATGTTATCATAGTTGAAATTAAAACACACTTCAAATAGTGTCTTTTAAAAGGGACACTATTATTTTTATTGAAGCAGTCTTTATGCTTTAGTTAATTTGGCATAATATCCTTAACATTATAATGACCCTTGCGTGATAACACGGTATATCGATTTTGCAGTTCAAAATGTGAAGCGGATACTAAGGTTAGAGCATTATTTTCATTATGGCATAAGATTCTTACATACAGGTCAGAACTAATCAAATTTGTGTTATATGTTTGTTCTAAAATGTTACAAACTTGCTTGAAAATTGACATCAAACAGTAAATGTTAAGCCATATGATATATCAAGCAAATAAATACAAGCTTGTCAACGTACAAAATGGATTGTAGCGTTATCGCTTGCTTCGTTAATGAAGATAATGTAAAACATATGTCAAGAAAATTGTGTTAAATTACAAACTCCTTGCAACAATCTTGACACTTAATGTGCTCATCTAAAAACGTTTAACAGAAATTAGATTCGCAGTAAATCATCTTTATTCTCAATACACAGAAAGAATAAAAAGATTTGAGGGAAATTAGATTTGACACAAGGTATATGTCAGGCATCTGTTAACAAAAAAAAAATAATGTATGAAGATTTGAAATGCGATTAAAGGTTATATGATACGCTATACATCAACTAGCGAGAGTGTATAAAAGAAGTAGAAAACGAACAGGTGATTCAATGGACTTTTAACAGCTCGTATTCTTGTTACAACCATATAATACGCGAATTATAATCTGACAACTTCTTTTTATCTGTGCTTGTGAATTACTGTCAATCTTTTTTTCATGTTATAATTGATATCTATTTTCCGATGTATAAATCTGACCAGATTGTCACTATAAAAGCCTTGGGCATTCCTTGATAGTTACTGGTCCGGAACGGAAAGTACCAACGATCAGCTGTTTTTACAGCAGACAGAAAATGCAACAAATATCAACATTTTTCTTCAATTATTTATTTTTTTCCGTTCTGTTTAAATATTTGGACGGCAATCCTGCTCGAGTGGATTTAAGAGAACATGATTTAAGTCATATATCTAGCGAGCAGTTGAGGCGCGTCGTAACACAAGATGAAAATCAGGAATTTCGATCAGAAACTGACGAAGAAACATTACTAGAACATCTATACAACCAAACTCAATATAGAGATCAAAATAATAGATCAAAATGTACTTCTTGTACCGTCAGAGAAGATCAGAAGAAACACAGAATTGAATCAATCAAAAATCGAATTTCGCATGCATTAAGATTAGATGTTCTTGGGAAGCCAAATATGACAAATAACAAACTACCAAAAATACCACAATTTCAGAAACTTAAGCAAAGATACGAAATAAGAGAAGCTTTAGATATGCAGAATGACGAAGTTCGTAACTCTCAGGAGGATTATGTTGAGGAATTCGGACAATCTCAAAGGACTTATACTTTTGCTCAACTTCGTAAGTATAATGCTTTATATTTTTTATTTATAAAAAACGAGACTATTAGATCAATCCAATAATTTGCTAGATTTTTTGTTTTTTAAATGAATGATTATAGTATAGAAAAATGTAGTGTCCATATACAAAAATGTGTACATGTTAGTAAAATTTCTTCTTGTTCTTATTTCCTGACAGAAATCACGAAAACTAAGTTATTTATCTCTATAAGAAAAGTTCCGACATCACGTATATCAAAAACCTAACTTAAATATTTTTGATATTTCGGTATAATCAATTGTAATACGGTTTGAAATTTAAATTGTTTAAAATCTAACAAGTTATCTGTTTGTTTCTAGTTCATGTATCTGATGATTATAATAAAACTGTCAGAAAAACGTTCGTTCAACTCAACAGGGCAATAATACAATTAACTTACATTGTATCATTGAATTTTGGACCTTGGAGGAAACAGATGTTTCCGTAAAATAATTTTTACTTTACATAACTGTTTCCGTTCTCAAAACAACCTTAAAATACTAATTAATGAAGTTATACAGTATATAGATATGTCAAGGTTATGTTTTGCATTCTCCCTTTTCCCATGCATATATACCATGCTTTTGCTTTGAACAATAATATATATATATAAATATATTTAATAATTCTATATAAAACATCAAATGGCATAAGATAGTAATCATTTCATAACACTAATCATAAATCTCATGCTAAGAAAATTCATTCATAAGACATTTTACCTCAATTAAGATACACTTGCAACAAAGATTACCCCTTTTTAAATTCAGACTATTTTTTTAACCAAAATATTTTGACCAGTGACAAATACATTATGCTCATTCAGGACAATATAATCCCCAATAAAAAGTATACAGTAGTCAATATTTTAATGTAAATTGCTACATATAAAGATAATTTGGAAGAATTAATACAAAAGGAAATATAGTGTTGTTTGTCTCTTTATTAGTATTGCATAAAACTCGAACCCTGGAGCATGTTATGTACATATAACGCAAGAATATGTATAGTTAGTTAAACGTGTGATATAATCGTTTATCACGTCAATGTTGTTGTATCTTGTCCTTAACGTGTAATGTTGTCGTGGCCTCTTATCATTTACCTTAATACTGTCAAGCTAAGGACAAATCTATTGCAAAACAATACAGTACTATTGATATTGTAAACATGTATTCTACGTTTTAAAAATTAAATTGCTAATATTGCTTTTAAATTAAAAAAATACTGTTATACAAACAAATGGGAAATTAATTTTAAAAAAGAAGATAAAAAGAGTCCAGACTAACTATTAATCAGATATTTTAATTTAACCTCATATTTTTTCAGCTCCAACGGAATTAAACATTGAACAACCAAATTCTATATACTTCACTTTACCAGATCTAATGGACAAGGTTTTGGAAAAGGCTTTTCTGTGGGTTTATATTGATCCATCTCAAAATGTTACTCAAATTTATGTATATTCACTCGTCAAAAGTTCAAAAAACAGTGACTTTATAGAAAAGCAGTTCTTAAGTCGTAAAAAACGATCATCCCGTGGATGGCAACATTTTAACATTTTAAACGAAGTAGAAAAATGGATAGAAGATCCATCGAGGAATAAAGGTCTTGTCGTTGAAGCACTGGACGATAACGGAAGAAATTCGATTGTATTGCCCTCTGCAAATGATGATGGATACGTAAGTATTATATGAATGTAATCTAAAAGCATCTTGTAGCCATTTATAGGCAATTTAAAGTAAAATAAATCATCTTAAATGTCTAAATATCAAAATATTACATTTTGTTAGGCACCATGTTTATTTATTTCTCAGATACTTTTCTTGTTCTGGTCAGACCTTTCGCTTGTTTCTTATACTGTTTTAAGTCATTTCAGACAATTCAGTATATTGGCTCACATGTGCAGATAACAGATATTGAACATTCTGAAAATAATGAACAGATCTCAACTAACAGCAACAGTACATAATTTATCCACAGGATTTTCCAAAAATTAACTCATAGAAGATTCAAGTTTTAATATTTCATTTGTCTTACCACTTGTAATACATAAACATACAGTAGTACAAAGTATATACAAAATATAAAACAAACCATACACAAAGATAGAATACAAGTGCCATTCTTTTTAGAATAATGAGAGACTGTGTAAAATACATTTCACATAAAATTGCTATATTACATAACCTATATAACAACGTCAATCTAAGAATATAAAAAGGTATTTCGTCTGCTTAAAATATTAAAGCAGGTATTGGCAACCATATCATAACACTCGCTATTCTGAAATAAATACCAAAATTTTCATCATCAGATAAATTATAAAAATCTGCATTACATTTCAATGTTTCCCTAACTAAACAAGTATGAAAATCTGTTTATAGCGGGCATTAATACAAGCTTCTCATCTCACAGAATGAACATTAGTTACTCTTGCATTGTTCACCTTGGATGAATTTGGCTATAACTTTTAGGTTCCTTTAAGCTCTTTGTGTGTTTCGGTACTTATACATCCCGGGCTTTCAAATATTTGCCTTTGGGCGTTCCTGATGAAGCTAAATCCAGAAAAGCGGTTCGGAGGGATAACATTTATAATGTGTTAGTTTCGTTTGTTTATTTTTCTTTCTTCAGTCTCTTAAGATTACACTGATTAATTAGATTAAAGTGGACACGTCAGTCCAAAATTGTTGTACTTGTTGTTGAAGTTAGTATAATCTATGAAAAAGTGTAATATTAATCGCTCTGGAATATCGTTCTATAAAGCATCATTTTCCAAGGACAGAAAGTAGAATTATGAGATATAAATCCAGTTTATTAATGCGTATTGTCGTTGTCTTTTGAAGTGATTTTTTTTTGTTGAAGGAAGATTTTAGTGGTGCAACGACGTCCTGTTGCCATTTGATATTACTACTTTATTTGCTATAGAATTATGAAATACAACATTCTGCTTACACATCTATAGATTTTTTTTTTTTAACACAAATTACATATAAATGGACATTTTGATCAGAAAAGAAATAAGAAACCGCTATTTGTAAATGTATCACGCCGATTACAATGCACATGTCTTTGAAATAACATTCATCGGGTATTGTCGAGTCCAAAAGTTTATGAATAATATAAAACGTACGTGGTCATCAAGGTCCTTGAAAGAAAATCCCAAAACCGTGAAAGGTCAGTTGATTTATATCAACTATTTTTGTCAGTTTTTAAACTTTTAAACGCAGTAGTTAATGAGTATTTATTATATAAACTCGAAAGTTAATCGAAGGTCAACCGTCCGACCAAAACAATTAGTAAAATCAGGGAAATACCAGGTACTATACAAAATGGTATGTTGGAAAACTATTGTTACATTAGATATTTGAAAATTTAAACTGCATGGTTCAAACGTAATGGTCTGAAAGCGCTGTTTTTATGACACCCATGTGGAAACAAATGATTTAAGAAAATGAATTGTTGGTGTTTAGATTTTTTCGGGAAAGAAAGAAAACTTATTGTGTATGTTTAACGATGTATACGTGATTTTGTCTCCTAATATTTGGCTGAATTACAAACTTTTCTATACGTGAATTTATTTTTTTTAAGTCATAAAATTTGAAAACCATCAAAGTATATTTTTTATATCTTAATCTTACATTCTGTCTTTAGATTGTTTTGTTATCCACTCAACAGAAAAGTAGAATATTAGTATGCTTTAATATATTTGTAGCATAGTATAGGACAAAATTGATGTAGGTGTCATTTCTAAAACCCCCTATTAATAAATTAAGAAATGATTAAGAAACTAAGGTTCCAACTTCCGCTGGCAAGGTTGGCCTTAGATTTTTTGGCTATTCTTTTTATGTCTTTTTAATCATATAGCTTCTAACTTTTCTACGTATTTTTACATCCCATGTTTTCAAATGTTAAGATTCCTAATGAAGGTAAATAATAATAATAAAAAAGCGCTTCGGAAACACACGAAATTTGTTTAAATGTTATTTTTGTGTAAGACGTTTTATGGGGCAAAAAAAAAAAAGAAATTAAAAACATATCCATGCTAAGCTTTGCAAGAAAAAGGCGACAAGTTTCTTAGACTTACAAAAAAAAAAACCAAATAAGAGAATGACAAAGGAAAAAAAGGAATTGAAGATAAAAAAAAACAAAAAAACACCAACAATCCAACTATATAATGCACTTGTGTATATAAAACAAACCTGGATAAGATGGACAGTAACCACTTTCACTTCTTAGTGTTCAAATTTTGAGATAAAATCCATTTAGTATACCTGGACTTGGTGTACAACGAAACCGTCCTCTGTGAGATTAAAAATTAAAAAAAAAATAAAATAATAATGATACGTTGCATAAAATATTACTAAATGAGTTATATAAGAAAAATATAATTATTTTACAAAGGACAGTAATGACCAAAATAACTATGACGTGATTGTAGTTCTTCAAGAAGACTATAAGTGTAACTTAGTGTAGTTTGAGAGAAGTCATTGTTATAAACTAGAAAAGCTTTTTTAGAAGATTTTTTGATTGTATATTTAATGCCGATCAGGTTAAATTTATTTACATATCATATAGCAGTAGTCCTGGATGTGATTCGACAAAAAGACATATTCATCTACCTTAACAAAAATGGTAATCAAATTCTATTTCTGTATAGTTTAAAACAAAATGTCTTAGACAAAGTCGACGTAAGCCCTGGTAACACTTCAGTGGTATATCACATTTACAATATATAGGTAATTATGGAATCTTCAACCATGATGATGCGCATACATGTAATTATTATAATTCTAGAATTGCAACTGCAAGCAATAGCGGATGTCACCTGAACATTATCTATAGTAATGGCAGCCAGTTTTAAATTTCCAAACCCTGACTTCGCATATATGAATGACAGGTCACATTTCTATAAAGTTTCATTAAAGCTTTGAACAACTTTAAATTTTTCACATAATTGCTGTTTCAATGGCAATAGTGGCCATTTTGAAAATTCCAAAGATGATAGCACATTGTCATCTATACATTATGAGACTGTTTTATGTAAAGTTTCATTTCTCAACTTTTTACATTTTTTATGTTTCAATAGCGGTCATTTAGAAATTACAAACCCTATTTGCTCATCACACATGGTAGTTATCATAACGATACAGTTTAAGTAAGATTTTTCAAGTCATCTCCGAGAAATTAATCGAAAGTGTGAAAGAATAATATTTTACGACGAGTAAAATAACAATTATATGTCGCCCCCTTTTCGAGGTGGCATAACACAGAAACGGAGGGACACCATACTTTCGTTCCGGGGGATATAATACTCAGACAACAACTTCTTTGAAAAATTTCTGACTTAGGACAGGTCACAAATAAAGAGGGTGGGGGTAAAACAAGATTTATAAAATCTTGTATACCCGTTCCCCGGGTCTGCCTTGTTAGTCTATGCATACATCAACCAATAATATCACTTAATTCATTTACATCGGTATTACAGACGACAGAAAGATAGCTACGCGATATTTATTTTAATATCCATATTTTGATATTTTTACTTTATGGTATCATTTTTTCACGATTACACAATCTCTCCCCATTAAATCATTGTTTATAATTGTTTTAATTTTTCGGATAAATCAAAGAAATGTATCTGATAATGTGACAAATTTCATTGTCTTAATTTTTTTTTGTATCAGAAACTTTATATAAGTACATTGCACCAACAAGTTTTATGTGTTTTTCGCATTTCGAACAATGTTTGTCTAATTTTCCATTCTTATCTGAAGTGTTTAACAGCAAAACTGTTTTAGTAGACTTCTAGTTATCGATGGTATAATCATTTAGAAGGCAGTGGTTCCACATTGACAAGAGACTGAAAGGAGTTGATCATTTAGACTAAAAATGTGAAGGTTTAAAAATTATAGCGTCAAAACTACGTAGAAAATTAATCTAGACAAATAGAACTATATTTGTGAGTCGCTTATGTAAATGCAGGATGAAATTAATCAGTATGATTCTGTATAATTTGTTACCCTCCTTTATGACTTATTTGCCTGCCGTCATCTTAATTTTCCATATTGTATTCGCGTAAATAGCTTTCAAACAAACACATTTTTGGAGACTTCGAACACACGAAATTTTTAAAATGTTATTTTCATTTAAGCGCATCTGACAAATCTGATATTGTGCCATGTAACATATATCCATTACAGTTATTTGTTAAACATATTATGTACTTCAATATAAAAGTATATCAAACTACCAGGTGCTATATGACTGATCGTTATTTGTTGAATGTTTATTTTAGTATAAGATTATTTTTCGTTTCTCAAAACAGATGTTCAGGATTCGGGTTAATTAAATAAACGATGTATGTACTGATGATAAGAGTATATCAGCACTTTTTAGATTCCTGAAATAGAAAAAAATAAATCAACTCTATCGGCTTATCCAAACTATAAGGGTATTTTCAAGGCGTAGCTTAAAAAAATTATGTCCAAAGGCCTTTGATTATTTTATTTTAAATTTTCCTTTTGATTTCAGAGTTGGATTTTTTGGGGATTTACTTAAATCTTGCCTGTGTTGGTTTTTGATAACAATGTTTAATAGTATTAATGAAATCACTAACAAGAACTATATAAGTATATGTAATAAAATATACACTGTATTAAAACCTGCAGGTCTTCTTTGAAAAAAAATATAAGCATATACATTCATGAAGGAGAACCTCGTTTTGAAAAAAATGATTTCGACATTGAAACTATGAACAATTATCAAACGTTTATGAAATACTAGTACACGAAGCCAGAGACATAAACAAATTAATATAAGTTTCTGCTGAATCCTATCTAAGTCAGGTTTGAAGATGAGAATCTCAATTTCTGTAAGACGAGAATTATTTGGAAAAGCTTTAATTATGAAATAATTCAGGAAATACCAGATGCATTAGGAATGTTTTAACTTCAATAATCTCCAACGCAAATGCCAATGTGTAATGCAAAACTATACAATAAAGATAATGGTTTGTCAATTAACGCACGAGATGGAAAAATCGAACACCAAAGAGTAATTAAATTTAAAAACCACTAAGTGAAAAGCTTTATATCAAAATGCATTAAGTTGATTTTAAATAGTCATGCAAAGGTTGACATCAGTGTTGACAATGAAATTACCACACGCAAGGGTTTTAATGACAAAAGTCCAACATTTTCAGATCAATGCCCGGCGTCTCTTCTGCTTCGCGGTAATTCAGGCAGGTAGTTTGAAAAGTACTATTACATAGGACAAGTTTACGATCGCCATCCTTTTGCTATGGCTATGACAAATATTACAAAAATGAAGGACCTTGCTATCAATTTCCGGTGTTAACAGTCTTTTGTCATGCTGCTTATCCGAGAAAAAAACCGACACAATACCACAAACATTTACAGCTATGAACGTTGTGCCAAGGATCATTTTCAAAAAATTACAGAATGAGTAAAATCTGTTAAATATGCAGCACACTCCTCTTTATATCAATATCACATATATATATTTGAATTATGACATAAAATTTTAAATACGAATTGCTTTAAGGTATTGTAATAACAAATTTTCCCAAAGCCTCATTGACAGCTTTTAACCTCTAATAATTGCACATCGTTGCAAAAAATCACATTTAGTAAATGAAATATACACGTGTGTGCCACTTGTCATGTATTTTTCAGCTATAACACGGATTGTATAGTAGGGAGAGGGAGGGATTGTTATATTTTGTAGATTTATATAAAAATATTAACACGAAATTTAATCAAACAGTCGATTAACATATAATTCCTCTTTCAGGAACCTGTCTTGGATACAAGAACATCGCTTCAAACACACCACAGACGCAGTAAACGTTCAATCTATCTCAACTGTGATGAAGAACATGCAACAGAGTCTTGTTGTAGATATCCATTAACTGTTGACTTTGTTGAGTTTGGATGGGACTTCATAATAGCCCCGTTAACATACTCTGCATATTACTGTGCAGGGGAATGTAGGAATCAACACATGGATTCTGGTCCTCATGGATATTTACGTCAACAAGTGGATGCGCTACCCCCTGAACATGGACCTTGTTGTAGCCCAACTAGGATGGGACAACTATCAATGCTTTACTTTGATCATTCAATGAACATTCAATTCACAACCTTGCCGAGAATGAAAGTTGAAAGATGTGGATGTACTTAGTCTCAATGCAAACTTCCGAAAGATGTCTTTCATGTTGGTTTTCATTCGTGAAAAGTGTAAATGAGCTGAAATGCCCGTTTGTGTGTGGTTGTTTTGAGTTGTTGTTATTAAGAAATCCTATCATTGATCTCGTGTTTATCTGATACAGTCGATCATTTGTAACTGTTAATATTGCTTATTTGTATATATGTATATATATATATATGTATTAGATACATGTACATAGCCCGATGATTGAGTGTATCTAATGTACATCAAGCCATTATGGTTAATGCAAAAGGATAGATTTAAATAATTTAGGATGGGATCCTTCAGCAATTTTGTATTATTTTATGGCAAACCCAATACATTTAATGAACATGGAGTAAATATAAATATCGACAAGTAGGGGGTATATCTGAATCGTTATATCACTTCTCACTGTATTCAGTAACTTAAGTTAACTCGATATCATATCACATAATAAAAAAAATCTAATATTATACGATGAAAGTAAAACGAACCATGAAATTACTAAAGTTGTCAATTAATTCGGAAAAGTTGTTGTGCAAGTGCACTGATTTGCGTTCTTAACGCCACGGGAAGGAAAATTTAAATAAGCAAAAATCCTATCAATCCTTAAAGATTAGGCTGGAAACCTGGAAAAATACTCTCTCGTTTGGTGCACATTGTATATAAAGATACTTGTATTACTGGTTTAGTTTTGTTAGACTTAATTCGTGCCGAATGATTACAAAGGTTTATTATTTAAACGTCCAATATCATTATTTTCAAACTTCGAAAATGTATTGCTTTCCACAAATTTTCCATTATCAAATACACATACATCTACAATCGTAAACAATAATATGATAAGCATACACTTCAAATGTCAATTATCTTTGTAACAATAAATAATAATAAAATTTGAGTAAATTTTTTGTTAGTAAAAAATGGATTGATGTTGGGAGATACAAAACAGAAAATAATAAATATTTTTTTCAAAAGGTGAATTGGATCTGGGTTCTGTGTATTCACATTATTTGTACAACTCTCTTTACTGATGGCAAAAAATGGATTTTCCGTGACCTCAATGGTTCGCGAAAATTAATATTTTTATATATAGTATAGTAACAATATTCGCTGCAAAGAATTTTACAATCGACAAAACTGGCGTTTACTCCTTTGTAGTTAAAACTGTCAGTAAATATTAAGTAATATTGCAGAATAACTTGTTCACGCCAAATTTGTTCTTGAAGATATTATCAGAAACATTTGATCGACTGTATGTTTACAGTATTTGTTGTTTGTTCATTTGGTGTTCATTGTTGTAACTTGGCAATATGGTGCTTTACAGATTCTTTATATTTTAAGCTATTTAAATTGACGACCGCTAAAGCGGTAAATTGTAATTTAAAGTAGTCTGATTCGCTTCAAAAGCATGAAAAAATACAATTTGTGTCATTATTTTTATAATGTAAAGAGTACACATAGTAAAAGAAATTGTACTTCCTGTCAGTGCTTTTGCTTAGTTGATGTTGTGAAATTGGTAATACATCAGTTTTTGATGCACAATTAGTGCTGTAAAATTAATGCTTCGTAGTTATAAATAAGAAATAGACCCAAGACCATCGGGTACGACATCTTTTGCCAAATCTTTTTTTATCTATTTAATAAGCTTGTATTTGGGATTCGACTAAGTTTTTTTTCTATTTGATAAGCGTGTTTTTTTGAAATTGGCTAAGATGCCCTTGTCTATCTTTCAAAACTAAGCATAAACAATAATATATGACTATTGAAATGTGTTAATATGTTAAGCTAAAAGTTTAATTCAAACATATTTTTCCATTTGATGGAAGAAATCGGCAAATTTTGTGATAGATATAGAAGATATGAATATTTGCGTGTATTAGCAATGGTGGGTAAAACCACAATTTGCAACCAAGTTGCATGTGATTGACTAAATAGGGCATATTTAAGTGATAAGGAAAACAACATGGGATCTGTGGTGTCTCAAAATACTAGAATTATATAATCGTAAGTGGTTGAAACAAATTATAGAGACTAAATAATGTTGTATTTTATGACATTGACATATTTGAAATATAAATATGAGGATATTTCGCATGACAGCAAAAAGTACTTTTAATCTTCAAACTAATCTGTCTGCTGGTCTTTTTTCTCTACAAATATTATTTTCCAGACAATATAGTGAGGTCCACATTCTAATGCATTCCATTTTTAATGTGCATTAAAGATATTAGCGTGAGGGAAATTTGTAGCTTGAATGACTGTAAAGAATATGGTTATATAAATGCAGTGATTGTTTGTGAAGCTGTTTAATGTTATGCTTAATTGTCTTTAAAAATGGGTATTTAGAGGGACAACACTTTATATTATGGTTTTTTTTTGTTATCAGTAAGGTATATTTATTTTTGGAAACTGCATCTAACAATATGACCACAGTTTGCCTTTTAAAAAAATGATGTTAACAACGTTTCGAACTGTGATAATACAAATAAAATTTTTTATCTTATATTTTCTTGTTTTGTTAATAAAATCCATGACGCCTAGGAAATAAATAGTTACTTCGTGAGACGTAATAATTTGTAAAGACAAGAATAGAAATATAGCTACTCTATCACGTGGAAGAAATTTTAAAGGACAAGTCCTTGGTTATCTAAAACTGCCTAACAAATATAATATGTATATCTTGTTCCACATGAGACACCCGAATTTTGCCCTACAGTATATTCGAAGCAGGTACTTTGAAATGATTCACATCAGGTCTGAAAACGGGACACGTTAGAAATATGTCATTAGATAGTTTAGAGACCCCTTTATATAACTATGGTCAAAATATTCGTAATGATGATGGCAAAACTTCTGTGATACTGGAACTCTGTCAGCGAAGTCACTTTGTTTCAAAAGGTCCTTAATAGTGAATTAACTGTGAACGTACATATATTCTACACACCAAGAAGACTACTGCATTCTACTACACTTTGTACAACTCGGAAAAGGGAAAAATCACGATGGAAAAGTTAAAATTGTAACGTGTTTTGTTCATTTTGTGTATAACCGCACTTTATTGTGCATTAAAAGGTACAGTATATGCCAAGATATGGAAACTGATTTCTTAATCACCAAAATAAGTACGCTTTCAGTAACTGCATGTATACGGTAATGTACATCAAATGTAAACACGTTTTCGTTTTCATTTTTTTTCATCTTTGATACACATGAAACTGACCGAACTGGATTAACACTTTACCCTAACGGGACACATGATATCGCATCAAACGCGCACCTGAAGTACAAAATGTTTAAGCCAGGTATCTATGTTGAGTTTGTTCCTAAGATATTATTAATCCAACGGATCACATCATTTCACTTCTCAGGATATAATATATCAACGGAGTACCTGAAATAGTATCATTTCCGCGAAAATTGCTATTCTAACGGAGCACCTGGTATCACTTTCCGAGATATAATTATCTTAACGGAGACCATAATATAACTTCCCAGGATAGGATTATCCTAACGGTGTTCCTGATATCACTTCTTAGGATATGACAATCCTAACGGTGTTTCTGATATCACTTCTTAGGATATGACAATCCTAACGGAACACCTGATATCACTTCTTTGGATATGACAATCCTAACGGAGCATCTGATGTCACTTCTTTGAATATGACAATCCTTACGATGGATTATCCTAACTGAACACCTCATTTCACTTCCCGGATAGGATTATCCTAACAGATCATATCCCTGCAGAGCATATGATATAACTTTACTGGAGATGATCATTTTAATTTGATTTCGCCTCTCAAAATTTCTAGAGTTTGTGCTGTCCAACGCTTAATTTATTTGTATCCACTGTTTTCCTCGTTTGTGCATTGTTATATAAAAAACATAGTGACTATACTTGATATTCGTTTTTATTTTGGGTAATATATATGTTTGTACAGTAAAAAAAAATATCGTTCACTCAAGTTTTTATTTCCTTAAAGAATTTCAGATTTCTTACGGCGGAATATATGTATATTCATATTGCGAAATTAAATTTTCACCCTTCTTGTTCATTTATTTTTGTGTCATAAAGTTGAACTTCAAATTTCTGAATCTGCGCCAGCTAAAAGCTTTAGGACGAAGTTAATTTACTCGAAAGTTAGTTTTTTTTCAATTCTTTCAAGGTTACACATCAAAGCGAATATTTATTAAATATCTTATAAACTTTATAAGATTTCTTATAAACTGTATGAGATATCTTATATACTTTATAAGATATCTTATAAACTTTAGTAGATATCTTATAAAGTATATAAGATATCTGATATCTTATAACGTTTATAAGATATCTTATAAAAACTAGATTGAATAAGATATCATATATATTATATTATATATCTTATATATAATATGAGAAATCTTATATAGCTTATAAGATATCTTATATAGTTTATAAGATATCTTATATAGTTTATAAGATATCTCATATAATTCTTAAGATATCTCATATAATTTTCTTTATAAAACATCTTATAAATCATATGAGATATCTTACAAACTATATGCGATATCTTATAAACTATATAAGATATCTTATAAACTATATAAGATATCTTATAAAGTATATAAGATATCATATAAAGTTTAAAAGATATATTGTTAATATTTTTTATATAAGATATCTTATATATTCTATAAGTAATGTCATATATTTTATAAGATATCTTGTAAAGTTTATAAGATATCTTGTTAATATTTTTTATATAAGATGTCTTATATATTTTATAAGTAATGTCATATATTTTATAAGATATCTTATATAGTTTATAAGATATCTTATATAGTTTATAAGATATCTTATTAACTTTAGAATATATCTTATAAAGTATATAGATATCTTTTAAAGTATATAAGATATCTTGTAAAGTATATAAGATATCTTATAAAGTTTAAAAGATATCTTATAAAAACTAGATTATATAAGATATATTATATATAATATGAGATATCTCGTTGTTAGAATGAATAGTAAAACGGCTTGCCATAAATTAGATTTAATCTAGAATTCAAATTTCGTTTCTGGTTTTGTCAAAGTTTTTCAAAAAGACGACATCAACTACGTTTTGTACGTCACGTACCATCTAGTTTATATAAATAATTGATGAATTTGGAAAAGATGAATAGCCAATGGTTCACGGTTCGAGACGAAGGAAAGATGACATGTTTCAAACAGCTGGTTTTGTTATATAGAATCCTTACTAAGTTTGAAAATGTATGTGATGAAAGATGCAAGGTTTGTTGAATACCATATATGTTTTAGCCAATTGACAATTATTCTACAACTGGTTCATGTCTCATACATGTGTTCTAGTTTTCGGATGAATCATAATGTTATAGGGAGTGATTAAAATGATATAACCTGCGAATTCCAGTTGCGTAAGACAGGTAGATACCAGCTAATTCCAGCAGGTGAATAGTAAATCTTTAATTTCCTAAAACCCTGTGGAGATCAGCCTTTGTTCTGATATTTCACTAAGTAAATACATGTAGTTGTGTGTTTGTTTTAAGCTTTAACTGTGTGATTTAGAGCAAAATTTAAAATAGTATTTGGTTCATTTATATGATTTATCTTCTTTAAAAGTCCCAGCGGACCCTTGAACATTTTCCTATCAAAAATGTGAGAAAGATCTATAGAATTAAAACTGATGGTTTCAATCCCTCTATTTTGTTTTGCCATATTAGTGCAATAAACATATATGATTAAAAAGAGATATACATGTACGTCAATGAGACATTAAACCAAAAGGCATCTATAGTAGTCAACATACAATCGTCAATGATAGACAAGTGTCTATACTATATGCCAAATTCTAAATTGCCTTGAGTCTAGAAAAGAATGTTCGGTGTGCATAATTTTTGGGCTTATAATACGGATTCCACAGTTCCTTTCCTACTTACGGAAATTTGCAATAAGGAGCCCGAACTTTGTAATGTAGAGCCTTGAGCACAATGATTAAGTTGGGATGGAGCCCGGAGCTCAGTGATACAATATGGAAGGAGCCGAGAGCCCGTGTTATCCTTCAAACTATTAGAAGGAGACTATCATAGATAAAACCATCATAACCACATTCACCAAAGTGACAAAACACATTTAGATATTAAAACACAGGCACTAACAAGGTTCTTAACTGAAGACAGGTGCATAAGAATATTTATAATATTCCAATCAAGGGCCCTTGATGGGCAGCATAATATGTACACATAAAACAATACATCATGATTTGTAACAGAAAAACATTTTTATATATTAAAATGAAACATTAAAAAAGTTCAGACAGATGTTATTATCTTCATTCTATAAAAATCACATACATTTAATTCCAGGCAGGATCAGAACCATAAAATCCTTACAATTATCATTGTTATTACATACATTAATTAACATTTCGTCTAAAATCTAGACATGTAACAATATAGCTCCCTAAATATTTAAGTATAGACAAATTTTCATTAGTAAATAACCAAACAAATTTTGCCTCATTTGAAAGATATATAAAATTGGGACAGATACAGTTTATCTCCTTGAAAAATATCTCCCTATCATTATTGTATGCTGGACAACTAGTAATAAAATGTTGTTCATCTTCAACCAGATTTAGAGTACATTTCTTACAAAGCCTTTGGTCTCTTTCTATATATAAAGTTTTATACCTGTCTCTTTCTATTTTGAGATCATGTGCACTGATTCTGATTTTACATATGGCACTTCTCAATTGAAAATTGTTTAAAGATAGATACATTTCTTTCGAAAAACAAGTTTTAAGTTTGAAATAAGTATCTAATTTACTACTCTTTGTATCTCTTCTTTTTGTGTTCCAAAATTTTAGAAAACTATTACAAAGTTTTTGCTTAACTGACTTGATAAAAAAGTTGAGCTTTACCTCCAAATTATGAATATTCAGCTTTTTAAAAATGTAATGTATGGATGAATACCAGCATTCAATATTATTATTAAACATGTTTTTGTTACACATATAGGTATCATACAGTAAACCATCTTTCATATTTTTTATTCTAAACCAATATTTCAGCATTGATAATACAACTGAAAAATATATAGGGAATCTACCAAGCTCTCCTAGCACAGCTAGGTTAGAAGACTTTTTGTTTACACCTAATATATACTTCATATATCTTAAATTGGATTTATCTAAAAAATCATTCATATAAATGTGCTGTAATAAAATTTCACTTTCTTTCTGGCATGCTGCAGAGCTAGTTTTAAACATACCTGTAATTTCACTGCCATACATTAAAATGGGTTTTATTGTATGGTCATATATATGTAATAGAGTAGAAATACTTGGATTGGAAGATGATAAAGATCTTTGCAATTTGAATACAGCTTTTAGTGATTTTTTGTATAATTCTTCCTTTCCTTGCTTAAAAAGTCCACTAGATATAAATTTTAAACCTAAATACTTATAATTGTTAACACATTCTATTGTATCTTTTTCGA